GTCTATAGGTCTATAGGTCTATAGGTCTATAGGTCTATAGGTCTATAGGTCTATATAGGTCTACAACTGTCTTAATAGTTTTACTGATACATAGAACTCGTTCTTCTGTTTAAATTGTTACCTTGATAAATTCAATTGTATTTCATATGTTTGTTATTTATTTTGATATCCATTCATTCCATATATTATCTGCTAATAGCACTGACCCTCTTCAATGGAGACAATGGCGAGTTTTTCCGACTTTGTGACTGATTCGAGCATTGGATTACATATTGACGACGCAATGATGCCATCGACATCGGCTCTTAGGATACGAAAATTGATATCACTGTAGTCGAGCTGACTGTACAGGTAAATGGGCAAACGATTGCTCATGACCCAAACACCTTGGCGCGGCTCGTGATCAACCTTTAGATCGTTGGGGAACTGAATCAGTGTGGAGTTTTCAGCAGGGTCCAGAAGCATGCCCAGGTTGGATCTGGTATATGGCTTGCTTGTATCCCAACAGCCAACATTATCGCGATGGACTTGGGTGAAGAACATAACTCCATTGCGAGCGATGCCAGAAGTGGAGGATTGGCCATTGAAGCCCCGATCGCCGATCGGAACAAACAGCTTCGATGTGTCCAGAGTGCCGTCAGTCCAAAGGGATTCGTTCAGTAATAGATCTGTGGACACCATGAATTCCTGGCAAAGAAACGCAGATCAATTAAATGGCAATTAAAATGTAATATCAAGTACGCACCTTATAGCTGGCCATCGGATGGAAATAGAGCACTCGATCTGAGCTTCTGGGTCCATTCGATAGACTCATGCCGAACACGCCGTCCAGCCACTGAAAGTTCAAGCCGTAGACATTGAAATCGGATGCCACCGGATTGGGCGAGAAATTGTAGTTGGTCACGCGCCAGCTTCGGTTCTTTGCCAAGCTATAGACAACGATGCCGAATCTCCAGACATCCGTGACAAAGACATGGGCATCCAGACAGTCGCCATTCCGTATATCCACCGCAATATTCGAATGCAGCGAGTCCTGTTTGACCTGCGATTCGGGCAGTGGATAGCGCACAATCATCTCATCGCTGCTCAAATCGAAGGCCACGATTTTCGGTGGACAGATCTGATTCAGTCTGACCGTAGCGTTCACGATGCCCGAGTCGATGGCCCACAGTCGATTGCATTGGACATCGACTGCGGTGCGATAGACGGATATTAGCTTGGAGCAGTCCGGATTGTAGGGGCTGCTGTGTGCCTGCCACGATGGATAGGGCCGGACCGGGGGACTTATCTCCTTGGTCGGATAGGGCACGGTGACCAAGCTGGCCGGAACACCGTCCTTCCAGCGTGGCGTTGTTATAAACAGACGGTTATTGAACACATCAATGCCCAAGGGCAAATTATTTTTTATCACAAAGTCGCTGGAATGGAATGGAAATAAAAATTTATATAACAGATATACATATATATGTATATGGATGTATGTAAGCACATTGTACTGCGAATGTGAATTCTGAGAATATCACTTGGAGCTTTTACTGTAGATTTAATCTGTTCATCAAGATTTTAATAATGAGAACTTTCCTCGGTAGCAAATAGTTCCTAAAGGAGCTTATGTAGTTTCCAAATTGAGGATCTTCTTAACTATATGTATATTCTAAGGACTTCATCTGTATCAAACATGAATTTGTAGGCTCTACGCAATGAAAGAAAGGATCGAACGGAAGCAGATAAGATTGGAGTGATTTTTGATCTTCGGCAAGATGTTCAAGCATGGGCTTTATATGGTCACCCTCAAGGTCATATGAGGAAGAATAATATTCATATTATTTAAGAGTTTCACATAAATAGCATTGTTCTCTGGACTCTTAGCTGTAGCTTAAGAGTATGATTACAGAATAGATCACTGTTGCTATACTATATTTGACAAAAGGAGCCATCTAGAAACAGAAACTGTGATCCTTCTGATCGATAGATTGAAGTAGGCAGTGAGAGTTATATTGAGTTACAGTCACAGCAATTCAATAGATGTAAATATTCAATAGATGTAAATATTCTAGAGAATGTATACTCAAGTCAATAAGGTTTTTGTGTCGTAAGAGTGAGACGAAGCTGCAGAGTGACTTAATCTTATATAGACATAACTCTTAATATTTTGTAGCACAAAGAGTTATATGGTCATAACCTTAACAACGCTATAATACAAAGATTAAGTCACATTGCGGCTTTATCTTACTCTCCCTCTCCCTCTCTCTCTCGCTCCCTCTCTGCCATTCAGAACTTTAAAGTGGCAGCAGAATCATGCTACCTAGAGCTTTAGAAGTGGGGCTATTGCGCAACCGAGTCGCCTAGAGCTTTGGTATGTTACGTAAATCTCACTGAGGGCTTTTGTAAGTCATGTAACTGCGTAAACTGACCACCCAGAATTCTCGCTCCATGTAGATTAGAGTATAGTAGAAAGAAACCTTACTCTACTTTTATCTACTTGTAAGGATTCAAATCCTGATGACGTTGCTACAAGCTATATCCTAATGTTCGCTATAAAGACTTCGATCCACCCTATTCTAAGTGGAGATCTTGGTTCTTTCGTTTCTATTTCCTCATCGAACTTTTGTATGAGTGTACGTAACAAATTATCATATAATCAATTGGCTAGGTCTAGCATTTCGTCTTGATCTGAAGCTTAGGATCTTTGGCAACATATGTCGTTCAACAACTCCTAACATCCTTACTTTCAGTCTGTAAAGCTGATATAAGCCTCACTGGTTAGATCCATAGAAGTCAATCTGACTTACGAATTGTTATTCCTACTCAGTCATGTTTGAGAATATTCCTCTGGAACGTGCACGAATCCGAATTTCGTTGCTCTGCAAGGCATAATTGCCTCAAGACCCCCATATAAAGGTTCAATCAAGTACCCAACTCTCATCCTAAGGATAATTGTTACGTTCATGATGATAACTCGCACTCAAAGCTACCTCAACTATGGAGCTTTTCCGCAAACTGATCTCACAATGCAACAAATCTCCCATAGACTGACTTCACAACTCCACGATCGCAATCCAATGTGTTCACTTGTTTTTGGAGAGTGCGCAAGACCAATTTGATCAATCAATCACAGCAATACATACATATATGTATGTATTATTGAGGAACTCCGGCTAATTACAAATGTTTCATAACAATCTTCGTTTACCCATTTTTGATCGCCAATTGTCTTTCGACAAATGTCGGATATTCGAAATCGATATATTTCCACTCGTTGACGACTTGAAATAGATTACTATTTCGTTTAGCATCTGGCTCTCCGGGTGGGCTTTGGAGCTTGAAACGCGTGCCTGGGCGAGCTTGATCCGAGTTTGCAGCATTGACACAAATCGAATTGTATCGAAGGCCAACGATCGAAAGCAAAATAATAATTGGTAAGTAACTCGAATTCATAGCTTATATGCGAAACTGGTTGGCTGCCTGTTGTGTTAGATGTACGAGTCGGTTTTCGCTTTCTGCTACAATGCCTCCAACAGCAACAACCAATCTCGCTCACGCACGAAAAACAACTGAAACGAAGTGAATGTCTTGTGGTCATTAAGTACTGTAAGCCAAGTTTACAGCTTACAGCTTATAAATGTCCATACATATATAAATATATATAGATATATGTATCTACTACGTCATTAGATTAGCGCCCGCTTTTTTATGATACCCTGAAACGATTGAAAATGGAAAATCGGGGTATCATAGTTGTGTCGAAATGTTTGTAACAGACAGAAGGAGGCGTGGCTAACCCTATATGGTGCATATATGCTCTTGGTCAGGATGATGGTCTGGATCGATCTAGACCTGACTCTATTTTTTCGTCCTTCAGTCTGTCCACCTGTCCATCCATCAATCAGTTAATTTTTCCGTATGCCCAGTGGTTTCCTCATTCTATCGTGCTTCTATCTGTTTATCCGTCCATTCGTCCATTTGACCGTCTGGCCGTCCATCTGTCCGTCCGTCCATGCGTCCGTCCATCCATCCGTCCGTCCGTCCATCCATCCGTCCGTCCGTCCGTCCATCCATACGTCCGTCCGCCCATCCATACGTCCATCGGTCCGTCCATCCGTCCGTCCATCCGTCCATCCATCCATCCATACGTCCATCCATACGTCAGTCCGTGCGTTCGTCCATACATCCGTCTGTCCGTCCATCACTCTATCTGTCCATATGTCCGTCTGCCTGTCCATCACTCTATCTGAATGTACGTACTTTTATGTCCGTCAGTCCGTCCGTCCGTGTGTCCATTTATCCGTTCATCCATTCGTCCGCCTGTCTGTCTATCCGCTTATCCATCTGCTCGTCCAACCGTCTGTCCATCTGTCCCCTACATTCATACGTCCATCAGTCTGTCTGTCTGTCCGTCCATCCATTCGCCTGCCCCTTCGCCCATCCATCTCAGCAGCTAAATGAGCTAGAGCCTTCAATTTTCGCAATTCGTGTTGTAAACTGACGGCGCTGGTAGAGGCGATGAGCGTCGTCGATTCGGTGTGGGCTCACTTCCTGTCGCAATTATTTTTCTTTTTTATAAACGTGAAAGCGACGCCAACTTCCTCACGATATTTTCTATCCATTTCTTGTTGACAAATATTTACGTTGCGAGCAACGTGTTTTTATTAGTCGAATATTTGGCTATGCTATAGGCGCAGATCGGTCGAGTTGCAGGGTATCGCCTATTCGAGCAGTCCCGACTAAAGTTTTCTTACTTGTTTTGCATTCGTACACCGAGCCTAACCAACTATAACCAGACATTCTCTATGATATTAAGGTCAGGGTAGTGTAGGGGCCATTCAATGAACTCTACATTTCAGGTCCGAGTCTGGAGCTGGAGCTGGAAATGCCAGTTGATATTCAAAGTGCGAAAAACCAACATCTTACGGCTAATCCATCTGTTTAAGTGGTCCAAATAATGTTCCTCTCTATGGAGTCGGTGCAAATAAGAGTGGGAAAATGAATGGATAAGGACTGGGTAGATCAAGTCATAAGGAATTTTTGATTGGCTTGAGTGTCTTTCATTCTGTCTTTGGCTACAAATAAACTTTTAAGTCATTAAAAAAAAAAAAAACTAGGAATAAAACCAGTTTTTTCTTTGATTCCTCAACACAATTAGTGCGCATTGAATGCTTTTTTCAACATGGATCGATTTTCTGTCGTACCTGTTATTGCCAATGAAGTGTTTTCAACAGAAAGTAAATCATTGTTGCTCAATGTCTGTCGGCATATTTCGCAACTTTTTTTTCACAAATGGTTCAGAATGAAGTTAAAGCCTCAATCTTTGTTATCCAGAGATGGATCTGCATTTTCCTTCATAGAACCTCTTTCCTATAGATGATGAGCTTTGTAGTCTTTGGTAACTCTGATTGCTATATACTCACAATTGCATGTGGGGGCGCTATCTTGACGAGAACCGAACCCTTGCACTACTCAAGATATCGACATAAACAAACGGTTCTTCTATCGAGCTGTAGCTTTAGATTGTAGAGATCACAGATGGGAATAGGAAAACAAGAAGAGGGCAACAAATCAAGTAAACCTAATGCAGATATGGTATTTGCCACGCCTCTACTGGACAGCTAGCGACTTAACACTTCTTAAGGCGAGCGTAAATATCCCAAAATTCTTGAATTTTCCAATGTGGCGAAATTCAGATGAAACAGCGGACCCTAGGAAGTACATCCAGTTGAGGCGTACATCCTTTTGACTTTATGAATGAGTATAAGAAATGCGTAAAACCTAATATATCATTTAGACAAAATCGTGAATTTGCTGTATTTAGTTTTGTTTAGTTTGTTGTTTTTATTATTATTATTATTTTATATTATTGAACTCTCTAAGTTAACTAGAATACACAACTCTACGCTTTTCATTAAACATTAATTAATTGTTTTTAGTTTTTCATTTTTTCTTTTTGTATATATATATATATATTTATATTTATATTTATTATTATTATGTTTTGTTTCGTTTCTGTATTATCTCTTTAAGACTTAATATAGCATTTTTTCTGTTCCAACTTTAAAACTTAAAAAAAAAAAAAAACACGAATAAAAAACTGGACAAGACACACGAATTTTCAAAATGAAATGTTTAGCTAGCTTAAACAAAGAATTTAAAAATTTGTAATTTTCGTTTTGCTTTTTTTTTTTGTAATAAATATTTAATAGAATTTGCTCTGGTTGAAACACACGATTAATTGGCAACCTAGTTGTATGTATATTTATATATATATAGAGATGTACATATATAGATAATATACAGCCGCGGTCATTCGAATAGTACTACTGCATACGAAATGCTGTAACCAAAAACAATTTGAAATGAAATGAAATACCGTTATTCATTTCGATATATGGTCAAACATTTAGTGCTACTATTCTTGCGACCGCAGCTGTATGTACATGTGTGTGTATGGGTGTGTGTGTGTGTGTGTGAGGCTGTGTGTATATATATATAAAAGTTTTACATTAACAACTTTGTAACTTAAGATTAGTTTCATTTTGTTTGTTTATATTTAAGCATTTAACAATTAAGAGCTGCGTCATAGTTAAGAAATTAAAATTACAACTAAAAACAAACAAATGTAATAAAAATGAAAAACAAGAAAATTCACGTCAAGTTTGATTGAATGCATTGGCGGGCGGTCTGCGGCTCAACATAGTCCAAGAGTGTGCGAGGGCGCGGGGTCGTAGGGGCGTGTGATAGGTGGGGGCGGAAGTGGGATGTGCTGTGGTAATTCTGCTCAAATGTGTCAGTAGTCCAAGCAGCTGACAAAGAAAACAGTTGTCCATGTTTATGTATATATATATAT